AATATGTTAGTAAGAAGTGCACTTTATACATTGGTGTGGAGTTTGCTTGAAATGGCCTTATGGTTTTCTTATAAATTGACCTGAAAAATGGGGGGTCGGTTAGCCTTCTTTCAGTCTAAACCAAATCACAAGGAAGAATGCATACCTCTTGCCACACATTGATGACTTGCTTGACGCTGCAGGTGGGTGCAAGGTCTTCTCCAAGATTGATCTCAAGATTGGCTACCACCAGATTGAGGTTAATCCTGCGAACACAGAAAACCGCATTCAAGACGCGCGACGGGCTAAACGAACTTACCATCATGCCCTTTGGCCTCGCGAATGCGCCAACCACCTTCCAATGCCTCATGGAAAAAGTCCAACGCGAACAAATAGGTCGGTTTGTTGTTGTATACTTGGATGCTATCTTAATTTTCAGCAAAGTGATGGAAGAGCACCTGAGGCACCTTGAGAAAGTGTTGGGAATCCTCAAGAAAACGTTGCTCCATCTCAACTTCGAGAAATCTGAGTTTGGAGGGACAACGTCATCTATCTTGGGCACCGGTTGTCTGTTGCAGGTCTTGAGCCTGAGGCAACCAAGGTTGAGGTCATTTGCAACTTCCCATAACCATTGAATGTCTGCGAATTGCGTTCCTTCCTTGGTCTCGCATTGTACTGGAAGTTTGTACCCTGATTCTCTATCATTGTCCGTCAATTGTCCAGATTGACCAGCAAAAGCGTATCTTACACATGGGACCAGGCATGCGAGAGTGGCTTTCGAACCCTTGAAAGAGGCCTTGGTGATTGCGGATCCCAAACTCACATTCGTAGTCACTACGGATGCGAGCCAATATGGGATTAGCGCAGTCCTGCAGCAAAATGATGGTGATGGCTTGCGTCCGCTCGAGTACTACAACAAACACATGCCCAACACAAAGGTAGCTACATCCATGTATATGCGCGAGCTTTATGCCCTGCATATGGCATTAGACCACTAGAAGCACTATCTTTGTGTCGCCACTTCGAAGTCTATTCTGAGTGCGAGACTTTGAACTGGATTAAGGGGCAAACCACCTTGTCCACTAACCTGCTGGCTGCACGAGATTGATATTTTTAACTTTGAATTGAAGCACTAGAAAGGCTGTTACAATCGAGTTGCTGATACATTGTCTTGCCACCCTAAGTACATGACTTGCCCCGTGAACTCCTACGACCTCCGGAAGAATCTGAAGGAGGAACATGTAGCGCAGACTGCCCATGATCCAAACCTCAGTTCAATCCTTGAGCAGATCTGGGCTGACCCCAACCGTCAGCCTGATTTTCATGAATGTGAGGGTTTGATTGTTCGACGATACGGTGAGCACGACCATTTGTGTGTACCCAATTATGAGCCGTTATGCAAATCTGCTACAACAGTTTGATTGGCCTAGTATGAAGGGATCTGCAGAGAAATTTGTGTCTGAGTGAGAGGTCTGCCAACGAATCAAACCATCAAGGCAAAAACCCATGGGGCTACTTAAACCTCTTCCCGTTCCCGACGGTCCCGGAGAACCCGTCTCCATCGACTTTCTCGACATGGGTAAGGTGAGTAAGAATGGGTGTTCGCAGGTGATGGTGATTGTTGATCATTTCTCATTTCTCTAAGTACTTAAACCTGATTCCTTTGCCATATCATGCCCCGACCRGYCTTGTGATCAGCGAATTCCACCAGAAGTACATTCTGCAGTATGGGACCCCGAAAACCCTTATGAGTGATCGGGACCCTTGCTTCATAAGCGCTGATTGGAAGGCTTTCACTACCCAGCTCCATGACATCAAACTAAAGATGACATCTGGTCGACTCCTCGAGGCCAACGGCTTGGCCGAGGAGATCAACCAAACGATCCTGCAGCTTCTCTGTGCCTTAATCATCCCAGATCAGGAGTCGTGGGATGAAGAGCTGTATACAGTGAAGGGGTTGTACAACAACTCCATTCACTCCTCCACCGGAATGACACCAAACCGGCTGCATTTCGGATGGAAGATCCGTAACCCTCTCTCCTACCTATTCGCTGAACAGCTGGCTGGTCTGACGCCTGGTAGGTCTGGCTTCAGTGCCAAGTAGGGTTGCTTGCTCAAAGTTGCCATTGCAGCAATGAGCAAGCGACAGCATGCAATGATTCACCATGCTAATACGAAGCGCAGACCAGCAACCTTTAAAGTAGGTAGCTACGTCTGGGTCAAGATGTCTGAATTCTCGGAAGAAGAGGGGGTGTCGCATAAACTCCTCCTCTACTATGGTCCTTTGGAGGTTCTGGATGTGGTTGGGGAAGATGGGTTCGGCCCTTCATACGTGATTGCTGTGCCCCCTCACCTGCGCACATATCTGGTCCTTCATGCATCGAAACTGTTTCTGTATCTCGATGCTAAATCCTTTGACGATCGTGAGCCTCCGATTCCTCGTGCAACTAGGGGCGGTCACGAAATAGACAGAATTGTACAGCATACTGGGAAAGGCCGAAACAGACAGTATCAGGTTCACTTCATGTATGACCCACTGGATGATCTCTACTGGATTTCAAAGGCGGAACGGCTGTGCAGCGCACCTCGCATTGTAAAGGCCTATGAACGACAGATAGTTTCCAACAGTGAGCCAAAAATCTTTGCAAAACTTACTGCTACCGAATGTTTGCCTATGATGCATTCGTCAAAGACTCAGACTGAGTTACTCGCTGGAAGGGACCTCGCTCTTGAAAGGGGGGTAGTGTAAGGACCTGCACAAACATGGACTGAGAACACGGCTGATTTCTGAGTTTTGCCACTGGAACGAATGCCTTGCTGAGTTCTGTGTGTTCTGCTGAGTTTTCTAAGCCTGTGTGCATGCGTGCTTGCTGGTCTGTGTGCCTGTACGAGCACTTGCCGACTTGAGTGTGTGTGTGCGGCCAGAATGGGACTTGCTTGCTGATTGCCCCAGTACTTGTGGCCGTGACCGTGCGGGATTGCAGCGGGGAAACACTGAAGTGGCGAGGAGAGGCCCGTGGCACTTAGAGCAGCATGGAAAAACACTCGAGTAGCAGGTAGGCTGGTACCGCCGCGTGAAGAGGGAGATGTGTCGGGTACTCGAGGCGGAGCAGAAGAAGACAAAAAGTTGGCATGTTTAGAGGTGCACTAGTGTAGGCTAGGTCTAGGTAGGTACAAGTCCAAGGTAGACTGAGTCTAGGGCCTGTACGGGCAATATCAGAGTCTGCAATGATGTTTCCCTCCGAAAAGGAGGAGGTACTGGTTGCTTGGGAGGCGGAGCGGCCTGGAAGTCACCGCCTAGGAGGCAAGCAGGCCGCTATATCTCTCGGAGGAGCGAAGTGCTCCTCCTCATTATGCGGTGTGCAAGTTTGGCGACACACTGCTGGAGCGGTAGGCGGAGCAGCGGGGGGTGAAGCAGCACTGCTGAAGGAGCGCCCAGCTCCCTCCACCTTGGCTATGGAGCTCGGGCTCGAGGAGGAGGAAGAAGGGCTAGGGGAGGAGCGCCAGGGGTACTTACGTGGCTATTGTGGACGTCGTTTTCATCACCTTGGTGGGCGCTGCATCTAGAAAGCCCCCATTGGGGGAAAGCTGCACCATGAAGCTTYGAGGCTGAGTMAGGCATGGMTGCCTSAGTGCAAGCAGCCATAGCTGCTTTGTGTTGTCTTTTGCACACGAGGGCGAGGCCCTAGTAGTCCGGCATAGCCTCGGCCTTCATGAGGAAGAAGGAGAAGGCAGCCATGGCTATGGTGGACCTCATGTGGTACCTGCAGTAGGAGAGGAACCCGGACATTGATTCTGGTGCTGCCATTCATTCATTTATTATTTGTTGTTTGAATAAGCGAGGGGGAGTAAGGAAAGAGGGATTGGTTGACGAGAAGGAGAGGAGTTATCATTGGTCCTTGCTGGTGTACATCTTCTTCTTCTTCTTATCCTCTCACCTCTCAAGTTCATTCATTTCTTTTTGCAGTTGGTCGGCATTGTGCTTTCTCGCGAATTTGTACTTCGAAATTGGCCGTTCTATACGGGTGAAGACGGTAGTTGCAGAATAAGCTTGCCCGGCTTGCTGACCGCCAAGTGTGTCTCCCTGTCATGGAATGCATTGCCTCTTCCAGGTTATCTTCACGGGGAATGTGATCACAAACATCGCTTATGGGGATATGTCACAAGATATTGATGTTGAGGCAGTTGCACGTGCTGCCAGACTTGCAAATGCTCATGAGTTCATAGATCGTCTTCCAGAAAAATATTTGACTGAGTTGGGGAACCGTGGGTCATCACTCAGTGGAGGTCAGCGACAACGGTAAGTTTCCGTGCAGGTAGGCAGATAAAGACATGCTCTTACATAGAAGGTAATCTGCTTGTTGTCGTGTTTCCTTTTGTCCATGAGACGTCAGCGTTAGAATTTTATTTGGGCCTAAGATTGCCAGTGAAAGAAAAAAGATGCGGAAAAATATAATTGTTTACTGCCTGATTTTATTTTTCTCTCGGGAATTTTTTTTTTCTCCAAAGATTCAGCGTTGATCTGCTAGAGGGGTTGATATGAGCATCTCCCTCTAGCAGCACCTGTCTCCCCACCATCTATCCGAAAACTTACTCTTGAATTTTTAAATATCATCCTGAAAAGATCAGCAGCAAAGCAATGCACCTGATTTTTTTTTTTTTTCATTTTTTTTGTGCCTGAAAAGTAGTGTGGAAAATCATCAAAATTGGCACGCACAAATTTTGCGCCCTGAGCCAGTTGGCCGACCCCCTGCCCGCACCCCGGCACCCATTGTGGCTCACTCACCAGTGTGTTAATTTCAAAGTGGTGATGGGACAGGCAGTTCAACATATCGGGGACTGATGCACAAGTGGCTGCCACTAACGTTGTTTTGCCTGGTAAAGCTGTCGCCTGAAAATAGAATTCCTGTCATGCCAGATAGGCATTAGGGCWACGCTAAGAGGAACTGCTGATAAGTTGCAGAATCATTCTTCTGCATCTCTTTTTTATGAAGACTGTGTTAACCAATCAAGGGTTATGAAACAAAGCGTGGCATAGCCAAGGATGCAAAACAGTCTTCAGAACCTCTGTAGGCCAAGGGCTAAAGATGCTCCAGGCTGCAGCAGAATCAAGCCATTCGGCAAGGGGCTAACCATTCGGCATCTGTCCATCCCATCCATTCATCCTGTCCCATCCCACTCATCCAAACCACCCAGCCTCCATGCATTCATTGAACAAGTGGTTTCCGCTGCTGTGCCTGTGGCAACAAGGAGGGGCAGGGAGGGCTGGGGGGGAAGGGAGGGTGCAAAAGGGAAGAGTGTGATCCATGTCTTGGTCTGTCTGTCTATCGGTCACTCGCTCTCGGTCTCGCTCGCTCTCTCCCTCTCTCCCTCTTTCTCTCTCTTCATATGACTCTCTCTTTTTGTGCTTTGTGCATCATCAGGGATGCGTCTCTCTCTCTCTCTCTCTCTCTCTCTCTCTCTCTCTCTCTCTCTCTCTCTCTCTCTCCTGCATGCATGCTATGTGGCCTCTCTTGCCCTCTCCACTCTCTCCCTCTCACACTGTGCAGTGGTCAAGCATGTTGCTGTGCAGTGGTGCTGGAGAGGCGCACGCCACACAGGGCAGCTCAAAAAGCAAATCACACCCATGCAGTCGGAAATATTTCTTTACCGTGTAGCACAATTGTTTTTTGCACGGCGGTTGTGTCGTGGACAGTATTTTTTTGGGGGGCCGTGTGACCAATTGCTGGGCCACCCTTGGGCCTATTCTGTCCCACATTATCCCACAAAACCCACTTTCCACTTGAAGAGGTTTGGTGGATAAACTGGAAAGCAGGCAGGTGGAGAGTTCAGCACCTCGAGAGAAAAGCAAGGTGCATTACTGCAGCACGACTGTTTGGCCTGATCTTGCTAGAAACTTTGCAGGCGCAAATTGCATGCAGAAGTGCTGTGAATAACCATCATTCGTGATTGCTCAGGCAAAATGAGAGGTTTCAGAGGGTAACAAGATGACAGGCATTGGATCCGTTCCAGATTATTCTCAGCTTCATTCCTGATGGGCTTCTTGCTTTTCATCTTTCTTCGACTTCTTCATCGTTCTTCTTCTTCTCCTTCTTTGTCTTTGCGCTCATCTTCTTCTTCTTCCTGCTCTTCATTTTCTCTTCTTATTCTTCTTCTTCTCCTTCTTTACCACCACCACCGCCACCATCTTACAAAAGTTTGAATGACTGTTTACTCAATCATCAACACTCCTACCTTCTTCCCCTGAATACAACGTACGGTCATTATAGCTGYATCTAGACTGAAAGATGCCTCAAATACAGCTATAATGACCGTACGTTGTATTCGGGGGAAGAAGGTATGTGTGTACCGTTTAGCCTAAGCACTGATCAGGCGTTTGCTGGCAACCTGCAGGTTATCTATTGCAAGGGCAATTCACCGGTCACCAACAGTATTGGTATTGGATGAAGCTACTTCCGCGCTTGATAATCAGTCTGAGAAGCTAGTAAGAGAGGCACTGGAGCATCTGATGGAGGGACGCACGGTAAGATCTCCCAGCCTCTGTACGACGATTTTGTTCAGTTCCTCTGAAGTATGGTCAGAATGAGAGCACAGATAACCTGTAAATGCTTTGAATGTCTTCTCAGCTATCTTATTGTGATTGCATGCAGCCACTAACAGTGCTGGATAATGTGCTGACTTCTACGAACACACTGGACCATGGTTTTCATAGCACTGGCATGCCGATACTCACACCAGGACTCTTGAAATTTCTTTTGACCCCATGGACAGACTATTGACTTCATGGGCAGCCTATGGCTGATTTGCTAGTCTGCAATCAGATTCGACTTCTACACACTTGTCTTGTATGCAAACAGCGATACAGCAAACTGGCGACAGGCGCCCACACAGTACTCAAAGATATCGTAACCGGATAAGAGTTCTCTTCAACTGGCTATGGCATCTCTCCGCCCACACAACACACTGTTCGCACTCTGGATCACCCTGGATGTCCCACACGCAACACACAACACACACGCACACACACTACTACAGCTATGGCAGCGCTAGCTGCCACTACCCTAGCGCTATACTACACTTCTGCCCACTTCGTCTTCGGGCGCACTGCAGACCTCCTCGCACAAGCTGCTGAGGCAGCGCTTCCGCATGGCATCCGCAGGAATGAATGAATGGCTGGACGCAGCCTCTTGATTTATACCTCTGCGCTGAATGGCAGGACCTTTACCTTTCTGCTGTCTCTCGTAGGCTCGGACTATATCGGGAGCTGTCTCTAGAAGTTCAGATCTTGTAAATCAGCGGTCGTCTTCTGGTTCCTGATAACTAAAATGAACCTTGTACTGTTTCTGTGGACGACCCCTACCTCCAGTTCTGAAGACATCTTCAGCTACTATACCATCTATGTCATATCTTCCATCCATATCCGGTGGGATAATCGATCTACGGGATGGAAACTGATCACTTTTTTTTCAAGGGAGTAACTTCGATGCGTGGAAGACTGGGTAAGTGTGGAGGTGTGCTGGTAACTCTATGGTGTAGGATGGTCCATCCTCGCCGCCCTTGACTTCTAGGACAGGCCACGGTCCTCTATACGTGGGCAGTAACTTTTGCGAGATGTTCTCCTCAGGCGCAAACTCTTTAGAACTAACCCAGACTAAGTCGCCTACTTGAAACTGTGACGGGCGACGATGTTTGTTCGCTTGCTCTATCATCCTATGTTGCGCTTTCCTGAGGTTTTCTACGACAGTAGCTAGTTCCTTCTCGTGCTGTACAGCAAACTCCCTGGTCCCGGGCGGTAGTCTCTGAATCTGATCCCGGCTGAGTCCCTCAAACGGTCTGTGCGGTCTAAAGGACTTGTGCAGTTCGTTGGGAGTGCGGCAGGTGGCTAGATGCACACTGTTATTGTACGCACTAGCTACTTTGGGCAACATCTCATCCCAGTTAATCTGATCTGGCCTAATATACATGCGCAGAACTTGCTGTAGGATCCTGTTCATTTGCTTTGTCTGGCGTTAGTCTCTGGATGACGGCCGGATGACATTAACAACTTAGATCCATATACTCCATGAGTTCTTGCCAGTTCTGGCTAGTAAACGACTATCTCTATCGCTAACTATAGACAGTGGGAGTCCATTCTCGCTCACCCAACAGTCAAAGAATCTCTGTATGACTAAGTCCGTATGTGCCTCTGAAGGCAAAGGAACGAAAACTGCGTACTTGCTAAAGCGGTCAACTATGACCATGACTTGGCTCTTGCCATGCCTGCTCTTGACTTGAGTGTCCATGAAATCTATTGACACTGAGCCTCCCGGCTGCTCCGGAATTATTATGCTGGCAAACTTTGCAACTGCGAACATACTCTATGCAGTCATTCTTCATCCCTGGCCAGGTATATGCGTGCATCAGATTGGCCAAAGTCTTTTGCCAACCGAAATGACCCTCTGTGTCATGGCATTCCCCTAGGATCAGACTACGAATCTCTTCGTTGTTGGGGATGCACAGGCGGTCAAAGACATTAGTCTTCTCAAAAAGTAACCCGTCAGTAGTGCGGTAATTCGGCTCAGTCTCTGGGGCCTCTTTGACTTTCTTAAGAAGCTCACTATAGATAGGGTCCTATGCGTAGGCTTCTCTAACCTTCTGCTGCAGATCCTTCCCTATATCGAGGTAGTGTACTATCGCCCCAAAGTAATCTGCCCTCCTACTTAAAGCGTTCGCAACTACGTTGTACTTCCCTTTGACAGGCTTGAGCTCAAAGTCGTACTGATCTATCTCTGCGGCCCACCTAGTAAGCTTAGGTGTCATMTTGGCCTGCGTCTTTAACCATCATAACGTTTCATGGTCAGAATAGACTTTGAAGTACCTCCCAAGCAAGTAGTGCTTCCAGTGGTCTAAGGCTTGCCTGAGAGCGTAGAGTTCCCTCTCGACCTTCTCTGAAGGCATTCTAGCGGACATGAACTCTACGGGTCTATACCCATTGCCATCGTCTTGCTGTAACAACGCGCCTATGCCGTATTGACTCGCATCGGTCGTGACGACAAAAGGCAAGGACGGATCGGCGACCTAAGTACTGGATACTCTATTAATGCCTGCTTTAACTTCTTCATGGCAGACGTGCAGTCCTTTCCCACTTCCAGATGGTCTCCTTCCTCAACAATCTGCGAAGGGGCGCAGCGATGGTGGAGAAGTTCCTCACGAACTTCTTATAGTAATTAGCTAAGCCCAGGAACGAGCGCAACTCTGTTAGCGTACGTGGCGTGGGCCAATCTCTAATCGCTGCGATCTTACTATCCTTTGGCTTAACGCCGTCTCCGTCTAAGATGTGGCCTAGGTACAAAACTTGGGTCTTTGCCCAATCGCACTTCTTTTTATTGATCTTGAAGTTAGCTTCTCTCAGCTTCTCCAAGACCTGCCTGAGATGACCTTGATGCTCTTCGAGGGTCCGGCTAAACACTAGGATGTCATCTAGATAAACTACAACAAATCTATCTAACCACGGCCTGAACAAATCGTTCATACAGTGCTGGAACGTAGCTGGCGCATTGGTTAGTCCAAAGGGCATCACTATGAACTCATAATGCCCGTACCTAGTCCGGAAAGCTGTCTTATACTGATCATCAGGGTGTACCTCTATCTAATGATATTTGGACTTCAAATCTATCTTAGAAAAATACTTGGCCCCCTGCACTCGATCTAAAAGATTGTCTATTCTTGGCAGTGGCTCAGCATTCTTTACTGTAATAGCATTCAGACCCCTATAGTCTATGCACATTCTCAGCTCTCCCTCTTTCTTAGGAACAAAGAGAACAGGCGCTCCGAAAGGAGATGAACTGGGCCTAATCCAACCCTTCTCGAGAAGCTCGTCCAACTGCTTGCGAAGCTCCTCTAGCTCCCGCGGGGACATCCTATACACAGCGCCCTTAGGAGTTCTACTGCTAGGCTCTATCTCAATACGATGCTGGATGGGCCGCGGCACCGTACCTGTCGGCGGCTCAGTCAAATCCCTAAACTCTTCCAGCAGCTTGGCAATCGCAGGGTCCATCGGCTTCTCCTCCGTAGGCTCGGTCACTGGCCTAACATAGGCAACGAAAACCTGTTCCTCCAACTTCTCCTTTTTCACCAATCTGGCAAACGCAGGGGCACTACTACAGCAGTGCGCCAAGGAATTTTCTACTCCTGACACATGGAACAGGCGAGTAGTCTTAGCCTCGCCTGAAGAACTAGGGAGCCTACACTCATGCTCTTTCAAATGGAGCGTGGCCCTGGCTGCCTCTCCCCAATCCATTCCCAGAACAATATCAAATGGGAGGCTGTCCTCTACGAGGAGAGTCAGGGAGTGGATAACCTTCTCCACTTTCCCATCTTTCTCTAGGCGGAAATACGCCTGGACTCCCTTTACGTAATCCTCTACAATCATAGCACGATTGTCCGCGAGGATGCTAACTCTGGGGTCTGTCAGTTTCTGGACTTTAAGTCCCAGTCTCAATTTCTGCAGCGCTTTCTTACTAATATAGCTGCTGGTGGCCCCTGAGTCTACTAGGGCCCCTACTCTAGTTCTAAAAACCTCTGTATCTAACAAGATTAGCTGCCCTTTATTTTCTTTCTTCATCTTGGCCCAGGCGGGCCTCCTCTTCTTCAGCTCTTCGGCCACGCCTGTGAGGGAGGTGTCTAGCGAAACTCTAACACAAGTAGTTTCGGGACAGCTGTCTAGACACCGGCCTGCAACCTCTGCCATAGGCACATGTGGTGTAGGAGTCTCCTGCCGGCTAGCTCTATGTTCCCCACATGGCCTAATGGTAGGGGCAGTTGCTACCCCTACCGGCGGCTGCCTTTTGGCCCTTGAGCAGTCGTTCGGGTCTCGCGATACTTAGGACAATATTTAATGATGTGGCCTGGGTCACCGCAGAAAATGCACTGGCCCCGGTCCAATCGTTGTTGCCATAAAGCCCGGTCCAGACCCAAAGATTCCCAAGGCCTACCCTGMGGTAGCCCTGGGTGCCATCCTCCTACTCTATAGGGAGACCTATTCCTAGGACGGTTTTGCGAGGGACCTTGACCCCTGCCTCTCGCTTGGCGGTTTCCTCCTCTGCCGCCAACCCCCTGATCGTCCTGGAACCGGCTCCCTAAGGCCCGGCCCCCTTGGCCCTGGCCTCGTCCTCCTCCTTGCGGCCTCCCTCCGGCTGCGACAGCAGCGTAAGTTCTCCCCTGGCCCACACCGCTGTCCTCCTCCTCTAACCCCCACTCAATCTGATCGTAGGGGATCTCATCCACACTACCCTCGTCTAAGATTAGGACGAGACTATCCTTAGTCTTCACCTGCCCTGAGATAGTGCGGCCCTTCCATTGCTTTCCCTTGTCCAAGTTCCTGTGCCATAAGGTAGACACGGACGCAAACTTGGCTTCGAAAGCCACCACTTCACGACTAAGAGAATCGTACGTAGTGGCAGGATCTTCGCTCTTTGCGAAGAAATGCCCTCGCAAGGCTTCGGGCATGGCCCGGTAGAAGAGATTGACCAGTTGGGCCTCTGT